CGCACCGCGGCACCATGGCCCCCGCTCGCCTGCTCGCGCTGCTGCTGCTCCTCGTGGGCGCCCCGGCCGCCGCCGCGGAGTCGGTAGGTGCTTGGAGATCCCCGGGGGGGCGGACCAGGATCTCCTTTGTTCCTGGGAGCCTGGGATAGGGGGTGATCGGGGAGCTGCGCCACCCCCAAGGAGATGCCGAGGCCGGGGAAACTTTGTTGGAAACTTGGCTCCGAGGTCACAGAGAGGCCCCGGGGGGCGGCGGGGGGCGGGGAGAGCTCCTTTGCTCGCCGTGCGCCCCCAGCCTGTTGCTCGTCCCGCCTCCCCGTGGCCTCCGCCCCGCCGCGGGCTCCGGGCTCGGACGTGACTAAGCCGGTGTCACCTTCCCCCCCTTCCCTGGTGATCCTGGGGCTGGCTGGGAGCCCCGAACCTCCTCCTCGTCTGCTCGGCGCCGGGAGCGGGCAGCCCCGGAATCCCGGACGCCTGGGGATGAGGGAGACGGCGAGTGCGCGGGAGGGGGCGGGGTTTGGGGTCCTGCGGGGCCTCGTTTCACACACCCGGGAGTGGACGACCGAGCCCTGACCTCACTTCTGGCCGCAGCGTTGCCGCTGGCTTGTGACTTAGGGCAGGGCCCTGCCCCCGCTGAGTCTCGGTTCCCCCATCTGCCCCGCCAAGGGTTTGGGGGAGTGCGGCGAGAGGTGACCAGTGTTTCTCTAGGGTCGGTCTTTACAAAGTGGAGACTCTGATCCTCCGACAGCCGACCGGAGCGGTGGTTGGGGCTCCGCGCTTCACCGCGCGCCGCCCCCGCCTCGCCCGGCTGCCCTGGGCCTTACGCGAGAAGAGCGTTTACTTTCGCCCGGTGAAGACTGGAAAGTCGAAGCACCCACCTCGAGTGAGAATGAGGTGAAGGGGGCTGGGGAGAGAAGGCCTCCGGGAGCCGCGAGTCTTTCCCTGTCGCTGCCCACTGGTCCCTGTCGTGGGCGAAGTCCTGGGCCACCTGAAGCGTCATTCATCCCAGCAGCCAGCTGGGGAGAAGGGAGGCGACCTGTGGGAGGTTGAGGGCGCAGGAATTGCTGGGAGAGGCGATCTGCCCTCCAAGGGCCTGGGCTTTGTGCCCCCTTCCTGTCCTTAAGCCCAGTTTTTTTGGGGGTAGGGGTGGGGAACGAAGCGAATCCCTATGGTCAGTTCCTCTGGGTTCCTGTTTTTCTGGGATTGCTTAGGGGAAAGTCGGTTCTGCAGGGCAGGCCACGAGTGAGGAATGAATGGGACCCTGAGTAATAGCTTTCTAATGACTCTGTCAACTAGCTTAATTCTGGCAACAACCCTGTTTACTGTTCTTAAACTGTTCCTGAGGCTAGAAAAGCTAACTAACCTGCCCAAGGCCACACAGCTAATTAGGGGCTGAGCAGATTCTCTCTGCTCTCATCTTAACTTGTATGTAGTCTGATGCTACTCTGAGTGGCAGCTGCTGTGTCCCACCCTGCGATAACTCAAGACTAATTTCGAATCTAAAGATTTGGGGCTGGCTGTCCAGCCTCACGGAATTCTGAGGTGGAAGGTGATGACTCCCCCAGACTAAGGGCAGCCTTGCCGAAAAGTTAGTGGCTGAGCCAGGACTCAAACCCAAGCCTGCTGCTCCCTGGTGCAGTGGTCCTTACCAGGCCCTGAAGGATGTGTTGGAGTCCAGCAGTCCGAGAGGCATCCAAAGGAATGCCATGTTGGATCTCGTTGGCCTGGGCAATGGGAGGGGAAAGACCCCGGAGGCTATGAGGTCAGTGCATGGGCAATCACGTGCCAGTCTTGGCTCAGGGACTGCTGAGCTTGCAAGTCCCTGAGTAGAAGCAGACAGCTGTGTCCCCAAAGGATGTGGTTTGGGGAAGGGCTGTCAGCCCTGAGTGTGGTGACCCATCAGATGGGGGAGATTTCAGCCCTGAGCAACTGCTTCCTGAGAGAGGTGTTCTTCTGTTTCATCCTGACCTCAGTGCTCCCCTTCCTGGCTAATGTCACAGACCTTCCACCTCTAACTGGGTCAGAGGGCTTCCCCTTTTGGCCCACCACTCCCCCTTTCTTCCCAAGGCTGTGGCCAGAAAAATCAGACCTCACTGCAGGAAGAAAGGTTTTGCTAATAGCTATGATTTATTGGGTGCTTTCCCTGTGCCAGGTTGGGTATATGGAAAGCACTCCACAAAAAGCCTGTGGGGGATTGTACCGTGCCCACTCTACAGATGAGAGAACTGAGAGTGGTAAAATGGGTACCACTTTGAGGTAGCAGAGAGCATCTAGGCCATCAATCTGTCCAGTAGTCCTCTCCAATAGTGCTATTGGGGCCCCTCCCCAAATTTTAGGTTTAAGCCAAAGGCCTGCCCTCCCCTCGGGTGGTTTCCCCCACCTCCTAAGGTGCCAGAAGTTTTGGGAAGGAAACTCTGGCTAAGCACCCAGCCTCTTCTCCATTTAGCTAGGGCTTGCCTTCCTAAACCAGTTCTTCTTGTCCAGCTGGGAGTATTCCCCTGAACTGCCTTCCTGCCACTCCCTCCCTAGCCAATTAAAGGCAGCCTTGTTTTGGGAGTCTGACCCCCACCTTCCAGGTGGTGCTGTCCAGGAGCACAACCCACCTATGTGGCATCAGGCCCAGTTGGTTCTGGGGAAGTGTCCCCCACCCATCAGTGTACTTTAGCTTAGAGATGTGTCTGGTCTCCTTGAGAATTCTCTCCTTGATTGCATGGAAATAGGGCTGGGGAGGAAGCCAAAGGGTCTAGGATCCTTGAGTGACCAGTGAGAGCTCTTTGGAATTCTTAGAAGCCCTGAAAGCCACCAAGCACCCAGGAGAATATTTGGACCACAGTTTAGGGGTGGTGAGTCCCATGGGTCCCATGGGGTCGAGTCCCTTTCCCTCTCTGGGTTNGAATATTTGGACCACAGTTTAGGGGCGGTGAGTCCCATGGGTCCCATGGGGTCGAGTCCCTTTCCCTCTCTGGGTTGATATTTCCCATCTGTAAAATGGGATTTCAACCAAATGGCCTCCAGAGCCCTTTCCAGCTCGAGTAGTTTATTAATGATTAAGTACCTACACTTTGAAAAGGGCTTTGGAAACCATAAAGGCACCCTAAGGCTTTCCCTCCCTTGAAGAAAGTTACATTTGTTGAGGGAATGATACACTCCACCAAATTCTGAGTTGTCTCCCCCCCTGCACACACACATACCACTTCCACCTACACACCCCCAAGGCAGGGACTCTGCTCTATTCCTTTTTAGTGAAACACTTGTCTTGTAGTTAGTACTCAGGAAATGTTTGTATGAATGAATAAGTAATATTCAGGCATGTAACTTCATTCTAAAGGGCACTGGGGTTATTTAATACTGATGTGAATGCCTCCTGGTGTACTGCAAGGTAGGTATGACTATCTCCATTTTTACAAGGAACTGATGCTCAGAGGAATGTAGTGGTTTGCCAAGGTCAAAACAAGGTCTGTCTGATAACACAAAATGTTTGCTTTGGTCGTCCTCAGAGAACATTCCAGGTCAGGAAATTGCTTGGGTTGAAGGTAGATACCTTAGGTCCTACCTCTGAATTGCTGGGTGACCTTGAGCTATAATGCCCTATTTCTGGATCTCAGTGTCCCCAACTCTAAAATGAGGAGGTTGGACCAGAGCCCTTCAGGATCCTTCCTGTCCTGAGAGCTTACTGCTAGGGGGAGGAGAGCTTTCTTGGCCTTCTTGGTAAAGAGCCTGAACAAGAGAAGTTGGGGGTGGGGAGGGACATTCAGCTCCTGCCATCCCCAGCTCCTGGAAACAGAGGGCTTTTCCAAGAACTTAGTGCTGAGCGGCCTGAATGAGCGCCTGGGAGAGCGGGGCTGGGCTACCCACCCCAGCTCCCTCCTGGGAGGAATTGACTCCTAGCTGTCCTCAGCCTCCTGGACTGCTGGGTATGAGTTCCAAATGATGTTTCAAATTCGGGAAAGGGACTGGACAGGGCTCTGTGTGAGTCACTGGAGGAGAGCGGTGGCTGGCCTGCCTGAGCCACCCATTCCTTTCTACTGCTTGGCTATAGGATGGCTCTATGGTGGGGTTATTGCAATAGGCTCCAGAATTTTACCTTGTTCTCTGAGAGCCTACTAAAGACAGTCAGCATCTCCAAGGCCTCGAGGGGACACATCAGAAATAATAGTACTTGGCCCAGTCCTTCACAGTGCCTTGCCCTGTGTGAGGACTTTGAAAGAATAGAATTTAGCCAGTCCTCAAAGTTGGTTATTTGGCCTCTGCTGAGCAGGTAATGCTTTTTCTCTCTTTTTTTCCTTATAGCAAAACTAAGGCTGCAACTGGTCTTTTATAGAGCAAAGCTGGCACAGTCCAGATTGGATTTGACCTGAGGAGTCTGGTTTTTTGGACACCCCTTCCTTGCTTTCTGGGACTGGCTACAGGGCATTGGAACATTGGTTTGGAGTTAGGCTAAGCTAACTCCAGAGATGTGAGGTCCTGTCTGACTCAGGATGGGCCACTCAGCCACTCAGCTTCTTGGTCTGTAAGATGGTCTGGACTGTGGTAAGGCTTGTAGGAGATGACAGGACCGCAAATAAAGCTCCCAGTGTCATGCCTGGTAGGGAGGGGGCGTTCTTAGTGACAGTGCCCTTCTTTGTCCAGGCTACTTGGGTGCTACCTGGTACCTTTGAGGAACCCACCCCCCTTGGTCCCTGGAAAGCTTTATCCCCTCCCCCATTTCAACCCAGAACTGCAAGGTGGGGAGGGAGGAGTCCAGGGTGGGGCTGATGGAGCCCAAATCTTCTATTTGTTTGTCTTAGAAGTAGGCTGTTTGCTAATTATCAGATGGGTTTATATTTAATCAAGAACCAGTTCCAGGCAGCCCCACCCTCCTGGCCTGATCAGTAGAAACCCCTTGCTGAGAAGTTTGCAACCTGGAGGGAGAGGGTGCTGGGGTTTCTAAAGGCTTCGGAACACTGGGACAGGGCCCAGGACTTGGGGGTCGTCAGGTTAGAGACTGAGTGAATTGCAGATCTGACTTTGGGCTTTGAGGGGGTGTGATGGTGGACAGAAAGGTAGTGTTCTGAAAAGCCAGTTTTCCTGTGTTTTCATTGCCTGG